AGCCTGGGCCATTTGCACCTCACCAGGAAAACACTGTCGATAATGCACTCCCTTCCCACTGCACCCTTCTGGGACCCTGCATTCCCACTCCCCTCATCCAAGAAGAGATTCAGCCCATGCCAAAGCACACAGCAAACCCAACAGTTTAACAGCCCCAATATTTTGGGAGGGAACTGCAAACTGCTGACACGCACCACACGTGTGTGCCTCCAAAACCTGGAGAGCGTGGGGACCCGGAGCTCACACACAGGATGGACGAGCCTGGGGCAGGAATTGAGGAGCTGGGGAAGGACTCAACCTCCACACATGCCACCTCACGCCCGGGGAGGTCCCTCTGCAGGAACCAATTACAATTTACAATTTGTAACTACAATTCATGAGTCGGTTTGGGTCATCAGTGAGGGTTTCAACTACACCACATTACAAACTGTAGATTTCATTTCTCAGTGGCCAAACTGATCTAGAAATTATGAACTTGAACTTTCTGGTTTTCAGTGGGGTGTCACCTTCCCCCAAACCAAACATTTATGATGATGAGGACCCTGATGTGTCCCAACTCAGCACTCACAGCACTGGGTTTGCCAGTGCTTCAACAGATTGAGCCTAACGTGGCCATTACAAATTGTAATTGGCTCCTGCAGATGCCAAACACAGACCCTGAGTGCCCCCAGCAGCAGAGGTGGGCCCGTGGTTACCTCTGCAGACGGTCCCGTTCTCCACCGACTCGTAGCCGGCCCGGCACATGCAGCGGCCGATGGGCACCAGCCACTCGCCGTCACCGTTGCAGTACAGCTTGATGGGCACGTCCACCTCCTCAGCATTGGCAATGCACGTCCCCCTGGCTGCCACCAGTGAGGTGCTCTCTGCCCCCGACAGCGTTTCCTGGAAGACGGCCCCGTTCTGGATCACGCGGGGACATTTGCGGTAGAAGACGCGGACGGCGATCAGGGACATGCAGCCCCCGTAGTCCTGGAAGGCCAGGTAGAAACCGTTCTTGGAGACGGGCCCGAAGCTGCGCACCTCGGTGTTGATCTTCATCACCCGCCCGCCTAAGTCCACCTGGGAGAAGCTCTCATCGGCAGCGATCGTGTCCACCTTCATCCAAGGATTCTCCATCCAGTTAGGAAAAGTCTTGGTGGCCGAGTCAAAGTCCGACTCGAAATAGTACAGGTTGAAAGTCTCCTTACAGGAGCCTGGGACGTTTGGGATGCTGCTGCAGTCCCGGACAGAGAATTTCATCTCCACGTGGATGCGGTGTGCTCCTCGCCTCCGGATGTACTTGGTCCGCAGCCAGTTGTTCTGGCTGGATTCAAAGACGTTGCACACCTGGTAGGTGCGGATGGTGTTCATGTTCTCATCGTAGCCACTCACCTCTTCCCACTGCGGGCAGGACACACACACACAGTCAAGGGTCTGCACCCAACCCTCCTCACCCCTTCCCATCCCCACTGGGTGCCAAGCAGGCTCTGCCAGCACCAGCTGACCCTCTCCGTGCCCACCCCATCCCTCAGCACCTCACCCCAGCACCCCCTGGACCTGCCTGGGCAGGGTTTGGGCCCCTGGACCTGCCTGGGCAGGGTTTGGGCCCCTGGACCTGCTTGGGCAGGGTTTGGGCCCCTGGACCTGCTTGGGCAGGGTTTGGCCCCCTGGACCTGCTTGGGCAGGGTTTGACCCCCCTGGACCTGCCTGGGCAGGGTTTGACCCACAGCATGCCCCAGGTAAGCTCCACACTGTGGGGACAGAGGGGCCCCTTGGGGTCACCTCGCTGCCACCAGCTCTGTGCCTGGATTCAGGGTCAAGGCTCTGCTGCTGGTGGGACAGCAAGGCCACTGCTCTGCAGAAATGGTTTGAGATGGGGCTGTGCCTCTGGCAAAGGAGCACAGCACCTTTAGCACATGATCCCCACCAGTGCCACTGTGGTTCCAACTTCCTCAGAAGCCATAAAACCTCCTGGCTGGCTGCAGCCAGTGCCTCTTCCCAGGGGCAGGATGGGACCATGGCCAATCCCACTGTGTTCCCAGAAAGGGAGGTGCTGGGTAAATCCCACTGGAGCCTTCATCCCTGCCCCTTCAAGGGTCAAATGTTTTGGGGCTCCTCCAGCATGGTGTGCTCAGGTCCCAGCCCCAGCTGAACTGGATCTGTGGATGCAGCCATGCCTACGAGCTGTGCCATGACAGAACATCCCTCTCAGCAAGACAGCTCAGAGCTGACAGATTTCCCCATGGGAAGCTCTTCCCAGCTCCCCCAGCTGACTGACAGCCAGCTCTGGAGGAAGCTCTGGAGAATTACAGAAGAGAATATCCTCAGCTGGAAGGGACCCACAAGGATCAAGTGCAGAGTCACCCCAGCAATCCTTCCCTGTGCTTAGAGCGGTGTCCAAACCCTCCTGGAGCTCTGGCAGCCGTGGGCTTGCCCTTTCCCTGGGGAGTGCCTGACCCCCATCTGGGGGAAGAACCTTCTCCTAACATCCAGCCTAAACCCCTTGACAGTCCCAGCTGTTCCTTTGGGTGCCACAGCAGGGCTGCTGTGACACCTCCAGCTCTCTGCCCTTTTCCCAGGCTGTTTTTTCCCAAATCCTCCAGCCCTTGTCGTCTCCATCCTGTGTAGGATGGGGACACCTCAGAGTGAGGGATGCAGGGCATGAGCTGCATCCTGTAACCAGCCACTGCTCCTCTGTGGGGAGCACCAGCAGGGAAGGGTCTTTGTGGGAGGAGAACCCTCAGCTCACAGAGCATCTCCCCCTGCTCATCTCCTGCCAGAGTGCAGAGCATCTCCCTGCAGTCCCATCCCCACCCAGTGATGCTGGCAGCGGGGACCAGAGTCCTGCTGGCGTGTGACAGTCCCAGCCAGCTGGAACTGCTCCTTCTGAATTTGTTCATAAAGCTGCTCAAGTGGAAGCCGAGCTGTTTCCCATGGATGTTACACCCCAAGCACAACCCTGCCCTGGATGCAGGATCACAACAGCCAGGGCAGGGCAGCAGCACAGCCCAGACCCAGCATTAGTGCCAGGACCGAATCCAGGGAAAATCCTGCAGGAGGAGAGCACCCCCAGCCCCTCAGCTTGTAAATGGCCTCACAAGGGCACCCAGGACTGGGGAGAGAGGCTCAGGAGATGGGAGACAGATTGCTCCTCGCACATCAAGGCTCACAGCCCAACAGAAGGCTGTCAGGGAAGATCCCCAACAGCTCCAACCACTTCAGATTGGCAGTGGCTGTAAATCTGCTGCCAGGGCTGGGGGACGAGAAGAGCATCCTCGCAAAACACAGCCGGAGCGTTTGCTTTGTTTTCCAGAAATAAATTTGGTGTGTTAGTGGAAAATTGCAGGATCTCCCTGCTTTTCAGGGCACTGCTTGGGGGGGAGTGAGGGAATCAAGGACAAGGCAAGGGGAAGCAATTCCTTCCCTTGCCCTGCCTCTGGTGTGGCTCTCCATCACCTGCACCACTCCAGAGCACTCCAGCCACCAAGACCAAGGGCCCCACACCTTCCCAGTCCCCAAGGAGGGTAAGGACATGAGCCCAGAGAGCTCAGCCTTGGTCAGGCAGGAGCAGCACATGAGGGTCTCCAGGGCTTGGGATGAACAGGAGATGCTGGAGGCAGGGCCTGGGGACATCTATGAATGGCACAAGAGTTTCAGAGCCAGACCTAAAGCAACTGCTTGGGCTTTGGGCTCTTTAATAGTCCCCAAAAAGGAGCACACAGCAGCTTCTGTCTTCCAGGTGATGCTGGGTGCACCCAGCCTGGCCAGTGACCTCTGAGTGGGATGCACTGCCTTCTCCTGCCCGTGGGCATGAGGCCAGGAAGTCACTGCAGAATTATCACCCATGATGAGCACAGGGCAGGGCATGATGAGCCCATATCCCCCCTGAGGACCCAGAGGTGGACACAGGAGGTGATCCCACCAACCACTGCACTGTCCAGATGGGCATCTCCACCCTGATGGGGGACCTGGGAGCACCCTGGGGGCCGGGCTCAGGACCCTCAGCATCCTCCCACATCCCTGCCCCAGGCTTCCCTTTTCCCAGATGGCAGAGAAAGTCACCCCCGTGCACCAGCCCCTGCGCTTCCTCCACGCTTAATTAGAAGCCTCTCCCTTTCTCCTGGCTCTCTAATTAACATGCCAGGAGCTCAAAAGAAGGCAGCAGCACAATAACCCGGGGAGACGGCTTCCAGCAGGCCCCGGCCTCATTACAGCCGGGCTGGGGAGCGGGAGCAGGGCGTGCTTCACATATGGAAACACCGCAAACAAGAAAGGCTGGGCCAGGAGAGAAAAAGACTTGACCTCTGCTCCTCTGCATTGTGTGCCCGTCATCCCCCTCGGTGGGCACTGGCGGGGCTGGGGCAGCTCTGCCCTTTATCATGGTGATGGGCCCGGGCGGCAGCGCCCGCGCCCGGCGCGACACCGCGGCCACGCCGCCCCGGCTCGGTTTAATCTCCCCAGACGAGGCTTTTCTGGGCTGTTTCTTTTCTTCTGCCAACGCTGTCAGCCTGGGGGTGAGGTGCAGGGAAATGTCTTCATCCAGCCTCCACTGCAGAGGGTGGATGGAAGGCAGGATGGTGCCTGAGCCATGCGCGGGCATGGGGAGCATCTCCGGGTTTTGGGCAGGCTGGATTGGGCCACCCAAGGGCAAGGGAGAAGGTCTGGGGGGTTTGGGCACTGTGGCTGCTGCCAGAGGTGGGCAGGATGCTCTGAAGCACCTTGATGCCCGACGTGGGACACACAGGTGGCTCCACTCTGGGTTGCTCTCGTGAGTGGAAGGGTGAAGAAATCACAGAATCACAGAACTGACTTGGAAGGGACCCACAGGGATCACTGAGCCCAACTCCTGACCCTGCCCAGGACACCCCAACAATCCCAGCCTGGGCATCCCTGAGAGCTCCACCCTGGAGCTCTGGCAGCCTCGGGGCCGTGCCCATTCCCTGGGGAGCCTGGGCAGTGCCAGCAGCCTCTGGGGGAAGAACCTGATGCACTGCCTTGCCCGAGCTCTTCTTTAAAGGAGCTTCTTTGGATGTGTCTCAGGGTACACCTGGCCCTGGTAAAGAAGACAGAAAGCTCTGCTGAGCCAGCAAATGCCTCTCCATGGGATGCCAGGGATGCTGGACAGTCCTTGCAGGACCAGAGCCTAATGCCCTCATCCTGCTACAAGTGACAGGCAATGGAATAACAAGTGAGACACTGGGGACAAATGACAGTGGCCTTGGCATGCTGTTTCTACCAACACTGAGGGATTTTTTGGAGTATCATCTCCTGAAAAACTACTGGAAACCTCAAGTGTCACCTCCTATTGTGCTCTTCCCACATGGCCAAGGCACTTTGCATCAGTGCCTGACTTCTGCTGGGCCAAGCCTGCCACAAGTGCAGAGGAGAGCCCAGAGCAGCTCCAGGTCCCCACGAGGTGATGATGCCTTACCCCTGAGGGAGGATGCACCGTCCAGCCCAGCTCTGCTGTCGCCGTTGTGGAGTCCATCAGCGTCTCTGTGGAAGGAAGGTGAAACAAGGGAGTCACTGGATGCTGATGAAAGGACTGAAGATGGAGACAGGGAAGAAGGTGGAGAGGAGGGCTGCAGGGCTGGAGCCCATCCCACACTGAGCTTCTGGCCACATCTCAGCCGGGTACTGGTGCTGGTCCATCCACCCAGCTGCTTCCCACCCACTGCCCACTGCTCCCTGACCCCCCTGCACAATCATGGAATCACTGAATGTTAAGGTTGGAAATCACCTCCAAGTTCACCAGGTGCAACCACCAGCCCAGCACCAAAACCATGTTCATCGTTAAACCATGTTCACAAGTGCCACGTCCACACATGTTTTTAACATCTCCAGGGATGGTGATTCCACCACTGCCCTGGTCCAATGCCTGACCACTCTTTCCATGAAGGAATTTTCCCTAAAATCCAATCTAAACCTTCCCTAGAACAGCTTGAGGCTGTTTCCTCTTGTCCTGTCTCTTGCTCCTTGGGAGCAGAGCCTGACTCACCTCAGCTGTCCCCTCCTGGCAGGTACTTGTGCAGAGCCAGAAATTCCCCCTGAGCCCCCTTTTCTCCAGGCTGAGCCCCTTTCCCAGCTCCCTTAGCCTCTCCTGGTGCTCCAAACCCTTCCCCAGCTCCACTCCCTTCTATGGAAACACTCCACCCCTTCAATGTCTTAATTTTCATTAGGGGGCCAAAACTGACTCCAGGATTTGAGGTGGGACCTCAAGGTGCCCAGCACAGGCAGCATCTCCTGCTGTGAAACCCTTCCATCCATCAGCCAAGATGGATTTTCCTCCTCTCAATCCCAAATCCAGGTACCCCCAGCCCAGTTCCACCCCTGCAGGGATCCTCCCTCACCTCTTCTAGTTTCCTTTGCCAAAAGCAGGAGATTTTTTTTCTCAGCACTTTGCACGGTAGGGAGAATCCTCAGAGATGCAGCAGAATGTTGGAAGGAGCAGCACTTTTAGGACTTACAAGTACTAAAAAATTAAACCACTGTTAAAGCTGGTTTTCCAGATGATTTGTGTTGAAATAGGTCAGGTGATGCTCCCACTGACCAGCACAGACAAGTCCTCCTAAGCCACACAACAGCAAAGCCTCCTCACCCTTACTGCAGCTCAGGATGCTTCCAACACTGGAATTCTCTTCATCCCAAACAGCTGTGGGTTGGTTTAACCCCACTGATGGCACAAGGAGGGGTGATCAGGTCATGGTACCCCAAAACCTGGGCCAACATGAGCCAAGTGAAGGTGCCAGCCAGCCCCATCAGAAATAAATGGGATACTTGGAATCATGGAATCATGGTTGGAAAAACCATCTAACATGGTCGAGTCCAAGGATTACTGCAGCACTGCCATGCTCAGCACTGAACCATGTCTTTAAACACCACATCTACACACTTTAACACTTCCCAGGGAGTGCTCAAAAGTCTTTCTTGGACACTTCCATGGGTGGTTTCCACAGTCTGGGTAACTCTCTGTCCTCCAGCTCTCTGCAGCCACATGATCATTGCAGTACAAGGATTTTTCTGCACCACACCCAAGGTTTGATAGCTTGAGAAAACAGGAAAATATTCCTGAGTTTAGGAAATGCAGTTTAGAAATTCTGCCCAAAGGCCTCAAAACACCAAATGGACACGAGGGGAGCGTGGAGGGACAGACTGCACAGGGCAGCACACGGCCAGTGGTTCTGGGGGATGCCCAGAGAGGAAATTCTGTCCCTCTGCTCTGCAGGGACAACGTGAATCTGCCCCTGATGGCAGCACATGCCCTGGGGATGTGCCAGGGATGCTGGGAAGTGCCCATCCCATACACACTTGGAGTCCCAGAATGGTTGGGGTTGGCACAGACCTTCAGGACCATCCAGTCCCACCCTCCTGTCATGGGCAGGGGCACCTTCCACTATCCCAAAATCTGCTCCAAGCCCCATCCAACCTGGCTTTGAGCAGGGGCACCTTCCACTATCCCAAAATCTGCTCCAAGCCCTGTTCCACCTGGCTTTGGGCAGGGACACCTTCCACTATCCCAAAATCTGCTCCAAGCCCCATCCAACCTGGCTTTGGGCAGGGACACCTTCCACTATCCCAAAATCTGCTCCAAGCCCCATCCAACCTGGCTTTGGGCACTTCCAAGGGTAATCCCAGAATGGGAATGGAGAGTTACTGGATGTAACCACGTCCTGCTGTCCTTCTCCCCACCAGAATAACAAACATCCTGCCACGAACCAGCCCCCAAGAACATCTCCACCTTCTCCACTTTCACTCCACTGAACAAAAACAAAGGAAGAAAAGCTCAGCTTTGAGCAGATCCAGCACTGAAGAGCCAGGCCTGGGTGCAGAGGTGACAACTGCTCAGTGCAGGGACCTCTCCTTCCCCACTGGCACCCCAAAAAGTGCCTCGGCAGCGCCGTGCTCCCTGCACCAACTCCTGGCAGTAAATCCTCCCCAGACTGTGGCTTGTTCATTACTCCTGGTTTGAGCCAGTGGTTTCCAGTTCACAGGAAACCAGGATTTCGAAATTTGGTTTTATTCCAAGAGTAAAAAGCAAAAAAATAGTTCTTCTCAATTTTTCCCACTAGGAAGAGCTCTGTGAAACAGCTAATCCTGAGATGCTGCGGGTCAGATTTACGAAATTTCTTTTTAAACTGAATATTTGTTTACATAGGTCAATAATAGTGTTTACTTTATCAGAGGATCTGGCTTTTTCATTAAAACACCAGTGGCGTTTGATCTGAAAGGAAAACAACGTTTTTCACCCAGTGCTAGCAAGAAGCTTTAAAAACCCCCTGGATTTGTTACTTTATCTTCACTATCAATGACAGCAGTGCATAGTAAGTACATTAATAGCAGTGACTAAAATGGAAAAGAAGATATATTCTAAGTCATTACAAATAATTCCCCAAATAAACTTCATATTTGGAAGCGTTTTGCATTTTAAAAAGCCTTTTATTTAATGAAAACTCAGTGCAGTGCAGTGGAAATGTTGTGCTCAGTACACCACTGCCTCCACCCGCTTATCCTCAGCTGAAGGATCCCCCTGGAGCTCTGCATCCACTCTGGCTGGCCCAGGGACAAGGAGAAGAAGAAATTTGCAGGTTTTAAGCAAGTTTTTCCAATGGCAAATTATCTTCCCATAAAAAACACCAGATATTCCATTAATTTTAGTCTGGATTTACACCGTTCTGCTGCCAGCTATTGGATTTCCTTTTCCTTCTACAAAGACTCTGCAGTCCAAAACCTTTCCCTCTTGTGGTGCTCACGGGTGGCAAATGATCCATCTCCAAGACAGCTAAATTAGCTCAGCTTCCTTCTTCTTCCTCCCCAAACCAGGTTCCTGTGTCTTTGAGGCTCCTGTTTATCACCCTTCATTGTGCAGGGGTCCCAGGGCTGTTGTCCCCATCACACACAGCTCTAACACTCCAATCTGCCCCTTTTTGGGGCAGTTTTTGCACCAAGCTTCTGCTCAGGCTGAAGTCCTTCTGGAGGTGGGGTTGTTACACTGAGCAGAGAATGAATTACAGAAAATTGGGGATATCTGGTTCTTGTGCAGCACGGTGAGCCTGCAGGGCCAGCACAGGTGGGTGTGGACCAGCACCACAGACTGGTTTGGGTTGGGAGGAACCTTAAAGCCCATCCAGTTCCACCCCCTGCCCTGGGCAGGGACATCTTCCACTGCTCCAGGTTGCTGCAGACCCTTTCCAAGCTAGAATTATAAAATCATAGAATAGGCTGAGCTGGAAGGGACCCACAAGGATCATCAAAAACGATGCCCAGGAAATCCCAGCAACCCCAGCTGTGCCTCAGAGCGTTGTTGAAACGCTCCTTGAACTCAGACAGGTTTGTGACCGCTGCCCTGGGGAGCCTGCTCAGCACCCAAACAACCTCTGGGTGAAAAACCTTCATCTAATACCCAACATAAACCTCTGAGTCAGCTCCAGCCCTTCCCTAAAGTCCTATCACTGCTCAGCAGAGTGGAGAGGTTGGTACCTGCTCCTCTGCTGCCCTTCAGGAGGATGCTGAAGTCTCCTCCAGGCTGAACAGACCAAGACCTCAGCCACTCCTCACAAGGCTTTCCCTCCAGACCCTTCCCCATCCTCATGGCCTCCTTTGGATTGGATGCTGTCTAATGGCTTCATGTCTTTTTAATATAAAATTATATTAATATATAATTATATTAATATATTAAATATAATTATATATTAATATAAAATTATATTACTATATAATTATATTATTATATACAATATAATTATATTGTAGAATATATAATATAAAATATATATAATATATAAATTCATATATAAATCTATATATTAGATAAATACATTTATATATTATACAAATAAATTTATATATTATATAAATAAATTTATAGATGAAATTAAATATAATTCTATTATTATATGAAATATAATTATATAATATAGTATATAATATATATTATATATGTTCTATATATAAAAATGAATATAATTATATAATTATATTAAATATTATAATCTGATCCCTTTTTTTTTATAATCATCCCTTTTTTTTTAATCATTAATATTATAATTTGCCCCATCCCCTGGTGTGTCCAGGCACTTTCCCCTGTGGAATTTCACATGGTTGGGGATGGCCCAGTGCTCTCCTTTGTTGAGGTCTCCAGCTGGGTTTACCCTGTCACAGAAGGAAATCAGGTTTGATAAGCAGGATTTCCCCTCATGAAGCTGAGCTGGCTGTGACCAAGACCATGCTGTTGTCCAGGTGTTTTTCAATACTTCTCAGAATAATGCTTTGCATTGATTTTACCAGGCAGTGAAGTGAGACTGACAGGCCTGTAGCTTCCAGGGTCCTTCTTCTTGCCCTTCTTGAAAATTAGGACAACATTCCCCAACTCCCAGTCAGCTGGGAGCTCTCTGAAATCCCAAGACTGCTCAAAAATCACCCAGAGAGGCTTTGCAATGACTTCAGCAGCTCTTTGGGGATCTTGGATGAATCACAGAACCCCAGAGCAGTTTGGTTTGAAAGGGACCTTAA